CTAAATTAAATGTTCACGTCATCAAAAGTACTGACCCATATTAGCCTCATTAGCAAAATTTTCAAGCCAAATGAATTCACGATAAATGATCAAAGCCAGAGTTTATTTTGTTTTTCACTCCGGACAATAATAATTTGCGATGGCGTAAATCCTCTGTAAAAAATGATTAGTTACAAGGTCAAAAAAGGCCAAAAAACTAAAATCATGAATATTCCGCTTTTTTCTGAAAGGCTTAGCAGTAAATTGAGGAATCTTTCAGTCCTCATCCTACTATAAAGCTGGGATTTGCTTTTTCGGAAAACCATTGATTTCAACTCAATTTTCTAAATCATTATTGATTATCAATTTTCAATTAATGTTCTCTTGCAGTCGTGCTCATCATGGCGAAACATAAAACAAGACATCTCCTGTTTGTTTGTTCCGACTTTTGTAATGAAAATAACGGAATATTTGTGCTCGGGTGGTTTTTTTTCTTCAGACAAATTTCGACTTTTCAACAAGCCCGTTTTTGACAGAACTTTTGGATATCAATCAAAAAGTATAGCTTAAAAATGAATTAAAAAATCCTTTTTCTTTCGTATTCGAAAAAAACTTCTGATCCTTTTTCGTTATGGGGCTTCAAAGATTGCCATTTTGTCCAATTCGGGACAATTAACGCGTGATATTTTTCGCGCTACTAACGCGTAAGCGGAGATTTAATCCTCCTAGAAATCATTTCAAATTGCTTGAAAGTTTTGCCGTGACTGATTTGTTTCTAGGAGCAAAACCTATAACTTTGTACTTTATATGGCTTATGGGTGAAAGATTTTCACAAAAAAAAATTCAAGTTATAAAAAATAACTTTCATCTTATTTCATCACATGTTACTTTTTCATGTTATTACTGCTGCATAGACCTTATGAGGCAGTCGGAAAGATCAGGGCTTCGCCCTGATACGAGCAGTCTTGTTTCTCTTCTAGATACAAAACCAATACGGAATGTTTTGACTACCCTTCAACTGGCTTCGAACATTTTTTGGAAAACGAATCATTAAGAGCACCTGAATTAGACTTGTTTCAGAGTCGCCTAACAGTCAGGTTAATATAGTGGTATGCGCACCCAGCGGGGCTCACAAAGTTCCAGGTATCAATCAACCGAGCGAGGAGAAGATCTTTTGAAATAGGTCAGATAGAAAAGTCAACTCAAGCATATATAAATTTTTATATACATTTATATATCCACTTCTGTATTATCTCCGATGAGTGCATTGAAATTTTTAATTTGAAAAAAAAGAGAAGGGAAAGAATAAAATAGAGCGTTAGAGGAAACTCAAAAGTGTTCCAACGAACAAAACACTTGTATGAAAAACTGCCTTCACAAACAAAGAACATGATCAGCAACTTACATTTACTTTCACGGATTAGAAACACCAACTGATTCGGTATGTTATTGACTTTGAGAGTTTACACTGCCTAGCGTGGCTCAGTTTTAAAACGGTTTTAGGGTATTTAATCAGAAAAGAATCTTGATCTCGATTAATAAAATTTTAGGAGGGAATTTTGGTTAAAAAGTGAATGGAAAAAATTAGATGGTAGCTTATTTGAATCGACTGAAAAATGATGGTGGTACTTTTGGAGGGCGAGGGACTCAATTATGGTAAAAACTGCCAGGGTACAGGGAGAGGGTTGTAGGAGACGAAGGCAGTAAATTAAAAGAGTGTGGTGGTTGTTAAAAGTAAAAATTGCTTCTTAGTTGTGCATGTGGACTTCAGAATTGTGTAGAATAGAAACAGCAGCAACAAGTAGCGCCCAAATTTTGGCCGTTTTTTTTTTCGTTTATTTTTTGTTCGTTTATAAATTAAATTAACATTTGAAAAAAGTTTTAAATGTTTCAAGCGTGTTTGAATCAGTTTTTTCTTAAAACAGTTTTTCTAAAAAGCGCGTACGAAAATTTAACTTCTCTGTATTTTTTTGCTCTTTATTTTGTTTCTCAGCTCAATGTCCCAAGCCCAATCCTCATCGAGCTTTACGTGGACAAACACTTGACTAGCAGAAAGCTTGACTAGCATAAAAACATAGAAAATCATCATTGAAAATTTCTGTATGATCTAGCCGTAACGCCATAGCTGATATAATTAGTCTCAAATGTTTAAGCCGGGCATTTTTGGCATCCACACAATGGGCTAATACAATACAGGAAGTTGTGAATACAATAATCAAATCTACTTGGTCAAATTAGCGTTTTTTGAACTCCCATAAATTTATTAAAAGTATTCACAGGTGAAATGTATAGTAAAATTTGAGCTCAGGGCAGAAGTAATTTTCCGATAGTACTCAATATTGCCAGTTTGAGATAATTAGTGCGTGCTATTTAGCAGATTTTTTGTAAATGCCCAACAAACCTGACTCAGAAATTGCGTCAAATAATTTGAGGCGCAATACTGGGTCCAGATAACGCTGTAATGAATGAAATTTATATCACTCAGTTCTTGAGCGTGGAAAGAACGTGAGCGTGGTGAGATAACTTGTGAGAAAATATTTTTTGAAATCTTTTTTAATTCTTTCCCAAATGGTACTTCAAATGCAATAAGGAAAAATCGGAGACTTCCTGGCTTCACCATTAAACCAGCAACCTTCGTGTTTTTAGAGCCAACTGTAAACCTAATTTAAAAAATGGAACGAAGGAAAAATTTCATTTGTTTTTTGTTCGAACCGATTGTGCCATCTGCCAAAAATGCAAGACAATCAAGTAGTTCGAATTAAAAAAATTTTAAACTGATTTCTTCTATAAGGTTAGTAAACAACAAATAACGTTTCAAATGGCGCTAAAGATTTTTGAAATTATCTGATTAGTTCCGTTTTTTAAATTCGAAGCTAAATTTGGGGTAAACAAATACATTGAAAAGTTCAAACATTTTTACTTTGATACCTTACGTTGATTGTTTACCAATTGCAAAAAAGAACGAATTTTTACCGACCTTCAATATTTGACCCAGCATTTTTGCTATGAAATAAAAAGTTAATTCCTTCGCGGTTATGCTAAGAGTGGTAGTGAAGATAAAAAAATATTTATGTAAAAGCCAATTCATTATGCAGTTGATTCTTCAGTTTGATTGTCGGTATGTTGCGTCGGAGAGTCTAATGAGGGTGGGATTGGACTGGTACCGTACAGGTTGACATTAGGTAGGATCCTCTGATTTGTAACAGGTTCATGACTATCGATGTCACTGTTTTCATTAAAAGGACCGTGGTCGTTTCCTTCGTGTGCGAAGAATTGGTGTTGATCATTGTCGCCCATTGGAAACCACTGGCCTGAATCAGTATGCAGGGCAGACATATCCAGGTTATCTCCAGTTCTTGACGTACTTGGATTTTTCTTCTTCTCCGAGTTGTGCCGAACAACCTCTCGAATCACGCCGAATACGCAAAAAATGACAACAGCTAAAACACGCAAATTTTTTTGGCCTTTTCCGTTGAAGCCCGCTTCTCAACTTGTTACATTAAGCACCAAGCAAGCTACGCGCCGGAATGACAACTACCAGAAAAGTATTTTGCTATGCTTATTCTTATTTATTGCGGCTGATAATCTGATCTTGACTTAAAGCATTTTTTGATTTTCTTTGTCGGGAACTGCAAAACGGTAGCAATCATGAAAAAGCAGGGGAAAATTGGACGATAATTTTTTGACAGATGAGTAAGGAACGTTTGATCCGCTTCAATTCGCTGGTATTCGGCATGTATGTTCATGAGCGTGAATTACCAAGCTACTTTTCAAAATAATAAAGTAATATTATATCCGTGCTATTTCAATTTGCAAACTCAATTTCCCACTTTTAGATTATGAAATACATCTGTTCCCAATTTATTTTTGTCAGTGATCGAAGTTCTAGCTATAACGAATTTTTTATATTCTCCAATGAAGATATTGACCATTGGAGCTCAAATGTAAGAAAAATATTTTAATGGAAGTCATTTTTTAAAAAATTTTACGAGTTTGAAAAATGTCAATAGGGCAAAACTATTGCTAAAAAGGTAATTAACTTATTCACTCGCTAATGAGGAAACTGATTTTCTCTCTTTTTTTTCATAGCCCGTTTTCAAAATGTGTTGCTGGAACGAAGCCCTCATCATGTAAGCGAGAGGGTTAAACTACTTGACCAGCAGCCATACGCTGCAGTTGAGTTGTCAATTATAATTGACGATTGACTGCGTGATCATTCAAGTAAAGCATACGACTTTGAACAGATGTAAGCCAGTTGTTGTGCAAGTAGCGCTGAATGTTCCGACCTCATTGAAAACTAGTTTTTTGTGCGCGTTGTGAAATATACAAACAAGTGGAATGAAAGTGATTTGGGCATGGCACAGTTGCCACAACAGTTGTCTCCGAAAAATGAATGAAAGCAAAAAATGAAAAAACTAATATAAAAATAAATTTGTTTAAAGTAGTGCAATAATCCAACAAAATGGAAAACTTATCATTGAAAGAGCACCATCTTAGCACCATCTTAGCGCCATCTTAGCGCAAAAGGTAATTCAACTTGCTGAGGCGCCACTGAGGAGTTTCTATTAAGTTTTATCTTATATGGACCTGATCTTTTTTAATTCTTTCCCAAATGGTACTTCAAATGCAATAAGGAAAAATCGGAGACTTCCTGGCTTCACCATTAAACCAGCAACCTTCGTGTTTTTAGAGCCAACTGTAAACCTAATTTAAAAAATGGAACGAAGGAAAAATTTCATTTGTTTTTTGTTCGAACCGATTGTGCCATCTGCCAAAAATGCAAGACAATCAAGTAGTTCGAATTAAAAAAATTTTAAACGGATTTCTTCTATAAGGTTAGTAAACAACAAATAACGTTTCAAATGGCGCTAAAGATTTTTGAAATTATCTGATTAGTTCCGTTTTTTAAATTCGAAGCTAAATTTGGGGTAAACAAATACATTGAAAAGTTCAAACATTTTTACGTTGATACCTTACGTTGATTGTTTACCAATTGCAAAAAAGAACGAATTTTTACCGACCTTCAATATTTGACCCAGCATTTTTGCTATGAAATAAAAAGTTAATTCCTTCGCGGTTATGCTAAGAGTGGTAGTGAAGATAAAAAAATATTTATGTAAAAGCCAATTCATTATGCAGTTGATTCTTCAGTTTGATTGTCGGTATGTTGCGTCGGAGAGTCTAATGAGGGTGGGATTGGACTGGTACCGTACAGGTTGACATTAGGTAGGATCCTCTGATTTGTAACAGGTTCATGACTATCGATGTCACTGTTTTCATTAAAAGGACCGTGGTCGTTTCCTTCGTGTGCGAAGAATTGGTGTTGATCATTGTCGCCCATTGGAAACCGCTGGCCTGAATCAGTATGCAGGGCAGACATATCCAGGTTATCTCCAGTTCTTGACGTACTTGGATTTTTCTTCTTCTCCGAGTTGTGCCGAACAACCTCTCGAATCACGCCGAATACGCAAAAAATGACAACAGCTAAAACACGCAAATTTTTTTGGCCTTTTCCGTTGAAGCCCGCTTCTCAACTTGTTACATTAAGCACCAAGCAAGCTACGCGCCGGAATGACAACTACCAGAAAAGTATTTTGCTATGCTTATTCTTATTTATTGCGGCTGATAATCTGATCTTGACTTAAAGCATTTTTTGATTTTCTTTGTCGGGAACTGCAAAACGGTAGCAATCATGAAAAAGCAGGGGAAAATTGGACGATAATTTTTTGACAGATGAGTAAGGAACGTTTGATCCGCTTCAATTCGCTGGTATTCGGCATGTATGTTCATGAGCGTGAATTACCAAGCTACTTTTCAAAATAATAAAGTAATATTATATCCGTGCTATTTCAATTTGCAAACTCAATTTCCCACTTTTAGATTATGAAATACATCTGTTCCCAATTTATTTTTGTCAGTGATCGAAGTTCTAGCTATAACGAATTTTTTATATTCTCCAATGAAGATATTGACCATTGGAGCTCAAATGTAAGAAAAATATTTTAATGGAAGTCATTTTTTAAAAAATTTTACGAGTTTGAAAAATGTCAATAGGGCAAAACTATTGCTAAAAAGGTAATTAACTTATTCACTCGCTAATGAGGAAACTGATTTTCTCTCTTTTTTTTCATAGCCCGTTTTCAAAATGTGTTGCTGGAACGAAGCCCTCATCATGTAAGCGAGAGGGTTAAACTACTTGACCAGCAGCCATACGCTGCAGTTGAGTTGTCAATTATAATTGACGATTGACTGCGTGATCATTCAAGTAAAGCATACGACTTTGAACAGATGTAAGCCAGTTGTTGTGCAAGTAGCGCTGAATGTTCCGACCTCATTGAAAACTAGTTTTTTGTGCGCGTTGTGAACTATACAAACAAGTGGAATGAAAGTGATTTGGGCATGGCACAGTTGCCACAACAGTTGTCTCCGAAAAATGAATGAAAGCAAAAAATGAAAAAACTAATATAAAAATAAATTTGTTTAAAGTAGTGCAATAATCCAACAAAATGGAAAACTTATCATTGAAAGAGCACCATCTTAGCACCATCTTAGCGCCATCTTAGCGCAAAAGGTAATTCAACTTGCTGAGGCGCCACTGAGGAGTTTCTATTAAGTTTTATCTTATATGGACCTGATTGTTAAATCTACGTAACATTTATTCGGAAAAATAAAGATAAAAGATTTAAAGAAAAAGAACTGAAGTTTCGAAATCTTACAGTTAATTTATTTTGCATCTTATTAATATATTTTTTCAGAAAAAGACACGAGCAGATAAAAGTAGCAAAAAAACAGTTTTCACATTTGAAAATATAACTTTTATAATGTGTCCTTTTATTTCAATCAATACGATGTTTTTTTGTGTACGTTTTATGATTCAATGATTTTTGCAGATACAAAACAATTTGTTAAAATAGTCGCAATCAATAAAAAAATATATCTGTGATTTTTTGCAAAAGGTTGTTTATAGACTGTTTACGGTCAAATAAAATTTCTTTAATGACATTCATATTGAAAGTAATAAGAGAGTTATATAAAGTCCGTATTGGCAGAGGTAGTAGTTTTTTTTCGTGTTAATTATTTTGTTGATAGTGATTTTATTCTTCTAGTGGTATCGAGTGATTTGTCTAATTCTTGTATTGAAATAAAATCACCCACTTTGTAATTTTTCATGTTCTCGTTTTGTTACAATAGAGAGTGTTTTCAGCAGTTCATATACGTGTATGTAACTCATTGATTCATCAAATTCCCTGCTTTTCTTATTGTCCTCACTTCTTGTGTTTTTTGAGGCAAAACGCAATTCAATATAAAAAACTTTTTTTGTACTTGCAAATTTTTAAAAGCGATTTTATTGGCCACTCCATATATCAATACACCATATTGGTATATTGGTTTTATTAGCTGCTTTTAAGTTCTAATGAGATCAGACAAGCTGAGAAACTGTCTAGTTTGAGAAAAATTAGTGTTGGTTAAAGGTTTTATTTTGATCCAAAGTTAATACCAGGTATTTGACTACACTTTTTAGTACTATCGTCTTTTTGTTCCAGTTAAAACGTTCAAACTTTTTTTATTTCATTTGTATTTGTTGTTTGTGATTTTCCTTTGCTTATTGCAAATTTATTTCTGTCCATCCACTCTGATATTAATTTTAAATCTGTTTCAAGGTGTGTAGTTTCGTTCAGTGTCACAAACAATTAGCGTCATTCGCGTCATAAATTCATTCGCTGTGCTGTGACACTTGAGAATAAGAGTGTACTCATCAACAGTATCGAAAACTTTAGATACATCTAAGAGTGTGCAGTGCGCCAATATATCAGTAATTTGCTTTCAGTAGGACAATCTAACGTTTCCATAATAGCCGCAATTGTACAGCGTTTGTTGCGTAATTTAAACTGCTTAATGCTTAAGTCGTCAAGCTAATTGAAAAAATTAATTATTCGTTTTGACAAAAACCTTCAAATATTTTTTTATAACAGGAACTAAAGAATGTCCCTCAGCTACTCTTCTGTTAGAATATAAAAAATCATCAAGTTTTGTTGCTGAAGCAGTACATCAATTTCATCATAATTTGCTCTAGAAAAACATATTTTTTGTAGAAAAAGCATTTTGGTTTTAAATTGATTCAAATCTGTGGCCAAGTTCCCAGAACTGCTATTTGTCATTAATTTACAAAAAATATATATATATATATATCTAAAGTGCAAAAAGCGCCTTTCTCTTCAAAACTGCGTGAAATAAAAAAAGTTTTTTGTGTTCAATATAGATCATTTTAAAAAAGATAAAAGTAAATCAGATACACGAGCAGTGCATGCTTCGCTCCATTTGATTTTAATATTTATTTGCGAAAAAAGGATAAATTTTACAAATTAGAGATGAAATTGAGAGGTCAGCGGAAATTTCTTTGTTCTCCACCTCGACTTTAGAAACTTTACTGATTGCAGATTTATAGCCAGAGAATTTCACTGGAGCCTAATTTCACCGGAAAACCGCTTCAGTCAGAATTATAGTGTTTGTCAGAACCTATATATTTGTACTTTTTTTCTTTTTTCGTTCGAAGTTAAATTGATAGATCAGCAAAAAATGCTTGCTTCATCATCTCTTAATTTAACATTGGTACTATGCAAAATCAGAGCAGCGCAAAATCAGAAAGTCACAAAAAACGAAGTTGAAAATTACAAAAAAAAGAAAGTCTGACCTGTGTAATCACACTTATAAACTTTCAAAAAACTTTACCAAAAGTCGCTTCCATCTTTTATGTGTACTCCTAGACTTGTGAAGGTTTCAGCCATTTTCATGCCTTTTGCGTTTTTTTGTTTAGGACTAAGGCAAAACAATAATTCATTTAAATGTGATTAAAGCAGCGAAAATCGCTTTGCTAGTTTTTTCAATTTTCTAGTTTTACCCTAATTGCTCTGTTTTAAAGTTTTTTTTGAGTTTGAGCGGTAAAATGCTTCGAGCTCGATATCTTAATTGGCGTGAATCAATTGTTTCGAAAATGTTTGCTGTTGCCGTGATGCGTTGTGTTTTCTTATTAATTTTTGCATCCTTTAAGGCTAAAAAATTTCAGAGAAATTCAAGTTTCAAACGTGAAAGGTAGATATTACAATCTTAAACACAAACATTTTTTTTTGTTTCCCGCGATGTTTTATCATAATGATCTTAATGGAAATTTCAGCATAAGAAGAAAATAGAAGCAATGCTAATTTTTATCCACAATTAATGGAATTTCGTTAACATATCAGTATACCTCAACATATCATGACATTGTAATTAACTTACATCACTAAAGAATGTAAATTTTGACTAATGATTTTTTTTAGTCAATCGATATAGCAGAACACACGTGGAACAAAATAACTGAGCATGATGAAAGCTTTAATAACAAAAAAGTTATCTTTAATTTAAGTTGATTACACTTATTAGAGGACAACCCCGATTTTTGTAGTCTATACTCAAATACAGTCGATAAAACAAATGTAGTACCAGCAACACGATAGCGTCACTCACAAATTTACAAGAGCCAATAATTTGATACCGGGACACTGCTATTTCTTTTTTTCTGCTCATGAGACAATTGGCAAATAACTTAGACGATTTCCATCTCTCATCACGGTAGCAAAGTTTTGCTGAAAAGTGTTAGCGCTAGAAGAAAATCTCCCATTTGAGTACTGATTCTGATTTTAAGAACGCGTTTTCAAGAGCGAGTACATTTTTTTGTGATTTCACTTGAGTCCATATTTGTTGAGCAAAGAAGAGATATTAAGCAGTTTCTCGCAGAAGTCAGATAATTTAGTGAGTCAGCAAACTTTTGAGAGCAGCCTCTATAGGTGTTAAGCACTCACTTGTATAGCTGTTTTCAAAATTCAATTCATTTTCTTTATCCTCATTTTTTAAATATTTTCGATAGCGGCACACAACTTCTTTAACTTGTTAAACTCTAACTTTTAACTTGTCAAATTTTACCATTTAACTTGCGGTCTATCCATCGGGCAACTCCACACGAGTAGGCAACACGTGATGACCCTTCATATCACTATCAATGACATCAACATTCAAAGTATTTTTTGCATTCAAGTCAAATAACAAGTTTTTGTGCTTTTCCGCAGCAAAAGGAGGATTTAGTATGACCAAAGAATCCTTTCTCGAATACTTTTCTTGTACCCTCAATTGCTCATTGAGGTCCGAACAAAACACCATACGTTTATCAATCTTGTCTGTGTTGTCCGAATAATTCTTGTTCACCCTTGTAGTCAATAACTCGAAAAATTTTCTTGTGTTGGCATCATCAACACTCAGAAGCAACTGCTTCAACTCTTCGTCAAAAACTGCCCTCTGGTCCGGTGCTACACTAAGGTCCCTCGCAGCATTCATTAGTAACCAAACAACTCGGGTAATCAATAGTAATAATCACCAAAAAACTGTAATCGTTTTCTCAAACTCTGTTGAAATTCAGTTCAATTCTCATTCAAAACGCTGTCCAATCCAAA